AGGTATACTACTTTAGATTATGATAAGCTTATACCAGTCCATATAGACAACGTGAAGGAAGAGTGGCTAACAGTTCAGAATCATCCAAAAGATCCTTCTAAAGGTAACAAACAGGTATTCACGAGTTCATTGGTGTACATAGAGAAAGACGATGCAGATGTGTTGGTTGAAAATCAAAATGCGACATTCATCAATTGGGGTAATATATTAATAAGAAAACTTGAAAGAGATAGTACAGGCGTTAAAAAAGTACTAGCGCAATTAAATTTGGAGAACAAAGAATACAAGAATACATTGAAGATAACGTGGCTATCGGTACCGTCGCATAACAGCGACAATGATATTAGTAAAACTAGTCCAATACCGTGCTACGCTGTGTATTTCGACCATATCATAAGCAAGCCAGTTTTGGCAAAGGATGACGACTACAAAAATTTCATTGCTAAAGACACAAGAGTAAGTTAAGAGTAAGAGCAAATTAATTTTATAACTGCAGTAAACAAATTTTACTAGTTCGATTAGTTTTGGTATATATTTTATTAACCCTTTGCACTCGAGTGGCGATTCTAAGACGCCATTAAAAATTGTTTTATCACGTTACAAAATAATTTTAACATTATTTGTTTATATTTGCATGAGTATATTTTGTTATGTTATGTTTGCATTGTATATAGTTGCACGAGTCACAAAATTCGATTTCATATGTATAAAATGCACTTGGTTATATAAAATGGAAATACTATAAGTCAGAAAAACTACTTTGGATGTTTTACTTTAGATCGAGATACAAATGATTGGCGAACCGGAATTGAAGCGCGTGAAGAAAGGAGAAATTATTCAATTGCAGAGGAAAGGATTTTTCATATGCGATGTATCTTACGCACTCGCTAGTCCATTCTCTTCCAGGGAACAACCTCTGATTTTGTTTCATATACCGGATGGACACAGCACCAATACAACAAAAGCTGCATCTTCTGCACCAACAAATACGGTTAAAGGATTGTTGCAGAAACATGTGTGCAATATTTTACAATTTTATAGTTATAATTTAACGATGCGTGTTTCTTCTTAACGTCCTATGTGTTTTCTTCTCAATATAGGAATTTGTGCAGAATGCCGACACGATTATTGAGAAAATTGTTGCTCAAGGTAATAGAGTGCGTAACTTAAAATCTCAAAAAGCAGATAAAGCTTTAATCGATACAGAGGTGAAGGTACTTCTAGACTTAAAAGTCGAATATAAAGCGTGTACTGGGAAAGATTGGAAGCCAGAAATAGCTCCAAACAAGCCATCGCAAGCATTTCTTAACACGAATCAAACTACATTGACTAATGATATTACCCAACAAGAAAGTAAAATCCATGAATTATTGATCAAAGTAAATGAGGAAAAGCAACGACTTTCTTCTTTGAGAGCAGAATACAAAGATAAAGTGGGTATCGATTGGACGGGTACATTTGCCAAAAATACAAAAGAGTTGAATGTTGATCAACTGTCAGTGAATATACAGAAACAGGGAGACAAAATAAGGCAGTTGAAATCAACCAAGGCAGACAAGAGTGTCATTGATCAAGAAGTAAAATTACTACTCAAACTGAAGGCAGATTACAAAGATGCAACTAATAAGCAATGGCAACTACCCATCGCTGTAGCAAATACGACAGATTCTAATATTGATCAATTATCGGAGAATGTACAAATACAAGGAGATAGAGTGAGGCAATTGAAAGCTTCGAAAGTAGAGAAAAACGTAATCGATCAAGAAGTAAAGTTACTTCTTAAATTAAAAGCTGATTACAAGACTGCGACTGGCCAAGAATGGAAATCAGTCGCTACTACAACTGGTACTATCGCAGATAAAGGCGAATCTGCTAATGCTGTTGCTCTAAATTCGAAAGATGTACAAAAGCAAGGAGACGAAGTAAAACAGTGGAAAGTGTGGGGAGCAAGGGAAACCGTCCTCGGAAAAAAGGAGAAACAACTTACTGCTACTCCACCATTGGATGTCGATAACGAGGAAAAGCCAAAAATTGAACAGCTCTCGAAAAATATAGAAAAACAGGGAGATAAAGCGTCGGATAAACCAAATGCGAGCTTGAAAAAGGCATCTTATATCCCCAAGACTAAGAAACAAAAGAATATTGCTAGCGAAGGTGCAAAAGATGCGGATAATGGAAAAACTGGAACTCGATTGGGAATGGAAGTGAAAAAGGAAGAAAATTTTTTCGAGTGGTACTCTCAAATTATCACTAAAAGTGGGATGATCGAGTATTACGACGTGTCCGGTTGCTACGTCCTTCGTCCATGGAGTTTCACCATATGGAGAATGATAAAAGATTACATGGACAAGGAAATAACAAAATTGGGAGTTCAAGAATGCTACTTTCCAATTTTTGTGTCACGATCGGTATTGGAAAAAGAAAAGACGCACATAGCAGACTTTGCACCGGAAGTTGCGTGGGTTACAAAGTGTGGGGAATCGGATTTAGCGGAACCAATTGCTATCAGACCAACATCGGAAACTATAATGTATCCAGCCTACGCCAAGTGGTTGAAGTCCGATACTGAACTTCCCTTGAGACTGAATCAGTGGAACAACGTGGTGAGATGGGAATTCAAAGATCCGAAACCTTTCTTACGTACAAGAGAATTTCTTTGGCAGGAAGGTCATTCTGCTTTTGCTACCAAAGCCGAGGCGGATGAGGAAGTATATACAATATTGGATTTGTATGTCAGAGTATACGAAGATTTATTAGCGGTCCCTGTTGTTAAAGGCCGTAAAACAGAAAAAGAGAAGTTTGCCGGTGGGGATTACACTACCACGGTTGAAGCTTTTATTTCAACGAGTGGTCGTGCTATACAAGGAGCAACTAGTCACCATTTGGGGCAGAACTTTTCGAAAATGTTTAACATTCAAGTGGAGGGTGCGACAGAAGTGGATGAGAAGTCGTTCGTTTATCAGAATTCATGGGGCTTAACTACTAGAACAATAGGTGTTATGATAATGGTATGCGAGTTTTGCTTTACGTCTTCCAATATAATATCTTTTGGTTATCAAGATCCTGTTCGATGAAATGGTCACAATTATTGTAGGTTCATGGCGACGATAAAGGTTTGGTACTCCCACCAAATGTAGCCTGTATTCAAGTTATCATAGTACCTTGTGGTATTACAGCTAATACAACGTCGGAACAGCGAGAACATTTATTCGCTGAATGTAATAAGTTGTTGGATGAGTTGTCAAAAGATAAAACTCTTCGCGTGAAAGCCGATTATCGTAATAATCGTACTCCAGGTTGGAAATTTAATCATTGGGAGTTGAAAGGAGTACCAGTTAGGATCGAATTAGGTCCCAAGGACTTGGAAAAGGATCAAGTGACACTCGTACGTAGAGACACTTGCAAGAAAATAGTTGCAAAGAGGCCCAGGGTACTTTCTACGTTAGACATTATATTGGCCGACATACAATCAAACATGCTTGAAAGGTAAGTCCATAAACGTTTTATACGCTGTAAATTAATATTCCAAACAGTTATACGATAAACAATTGGTATGTTTGTTTGTTTGTTTTTTTAATAGAGCCAGGAAGAACTTGAACGAACATATTAAACGTGTTGAAAACTGGAATGATTTTTGTTTGGAACTAAATAAAAAGAATATACTATTGTCGCCATTTTGCGGTGAACCATCTTGCGAGGATAATATTAAAGCTGGTAGCGCACGGTAAGCATTATTCGAACGAGAAATCCTATGCATGGTACTGATTTTTAACTTAATGCATATACATGTAAATGTAACGGTGTAATTTGGCATTTGTAGCGAGAACACGGAGGAAGAGCCTGGAGCGCTTTCAATGGGCGCTAAAAGCCTTTGTATACCATTCGAACAGCCAGTCTCGACTGATGTTCTTGCTAAACAAACATGTATCTATCCTAGTTGCCAGACTAAACCGAAATTTTATACACTGTTTGGTCGCAGTTATTAAAATGTTTTTATAAAGAAGATTCCCGGCAATTGTCTCTCAAAGCATTTTAAGGACACCTGTGTTTTCTACAATTTTGTGTATGTTATTAATAGCAGTTCTATTGTATCATATTAACATAAATACATATTCATCGCTTGAATTCTACTTCTATTTCAAAATCTCTTCTTGCTACAAACATAACAATTGATTAAACTTTAAAGAGCAATTAATTGTGTTTCTCAATGTTGTCATTTGTTTGCTTTTTTTTATGTATAACGTCGATATAGTAGATGTTACTGAACAATTCTGCCCCCCCCCTCCGCATACGGGGTTATTTTTGTATGCTCAAATCCTGCCATAATCATCCATAATTAATTGTTTTTCGACACTTTCGGCGACCTCTTCGATTATCCATATCATTGTACATGCCAGTGATAGTGGTGCCTCCTGAGGAGAAAAACTGAAGCTCCGTACAGTGGTAAGACGCTGAAACTGTTAGCCAAAATCAACGGTCGGTAAATTATCGAGTAGTTTGAGTGTTTTTCCGTTATACCAATTGTTGCTGTAAAAACATCTGAATGGAGTTTCAAAATATCACCGCTATGTATATTTTAGTCGAAATGATAATAAAGAAGAAAAAATAGATGAATGACAAGAAAAGAAACAAGAACTTCGATGAACAATGCGTAGATGAAAATCAATAACAGTCCAAGTCATTTCAGTTGTCTCACTATAAATAAATATCAAGATATAGAGGTATTATACTTAACTACGAACGATATCGTACTTATATACATATTTATGTTATATTGCTTAAATTTTATTACAGATCTGACGAGTACTTTCATTGATGCATTAACAAATATACAATGATAGAAAGATGCATTAGAAACAAGTATGAATACCCGAGCAAACGAAATCTTTTATCGGGTGAAGAGTGAGTAATATTCAAGGATTCATAATTCTTAGACAATTGAAAATGTCAATCTATCCCACTTGTAATTTAGCGAGTATGATAACTAATTTTCATAGTTTTGTAAATGGTATATGCGTATATATATGTCCAAATCTTTTTTTTTACAATATTTAAATGTACTATTATTAAAGAATTATAGGTACTACGTATAATAATCGTCTACTGCGTAACAAAACGTATCAGTTTCAGGAATGCTTCTCAATCGTACGATTAAATCAATACTTTAAAAATCCTTAAGTAAATGTACATGTATATATATATATATATATATATATGTAATTGTATTACGTTATCTATCGACGAAACGTTTCTCGAAATGACAATCGATCCACTTTACATTATATTTCAGGTGATCCAATNAGTCTCGACTGATGTTCTTGCTAAACAAACATGTATCTATCCTAGTTGCCAGACTAAACCGAAATTTTATACACTGTTTGGTCGCAGTTATTAAAATGTTTTTATAAAGAAGATTCCCGGCAATTGTCTCTCAAAGCATTTTAAGGACACCTGTGTTTTCTACAATTTTGTGTATGTTATTAATAGCAGTTCTATTGTATCATATTAACATAAATACATATTCATCGCTTGAATTCTACTTCTATTTCAAAATCTCTTCTTGCTACAAACATAACAATTGATTAAACTTTAAAGAGCAATTAATTGTGTTTCTCAATGTTGTCATTTGTTTGCTTTTTTTTATGTATAACGTCGATATAGTAGATGTTACTGAACAATTCTGCCCCCCCCCTCCGCATACGGGGTTATTTTTGTATGCTCAAATCCTGCCATAATCATCCATAATTAATTGTTTTTCGACACTTTCGGCGACCTCTTCGATTATCCATATCATTGTACATGCCAGTGATAGTGGTGCCTCCTGAGGAGAAAAACTGAAGCTCCGTACAGTGGTAAGACGCTGAAACTGTTAGCCAAAATCAACGGTCGGTAAATTATCGAGTAGTTTGAGTGTTTTTCCGTTATACCAATTGTTGCTGTAAAAACATCTGAATGGAGTTTCAAAATATCACCGCTATGTATATTTTAGTCGAAATGATAATAAAGAAGAAAAAATAGATGAATGACAAGAAAAGAAACAAGAACTTCGATGAACAATGCGTAGATGAAAATCAATAACAGTCCAAGTCATTTCAGTTGTCTCACTATAAATAAATATCAAGATATAGAGGTATTATACTTAACTACGAACGATATCGTACTTATATACATATTTATGTTATATTGCTTAAATTTTATTACAGATCTGACGAGTACTTTCATTGATGCATTAACAAATATACAATGATAGAAAGATGCATTAGAAACAAGTATGAATACCCGAGCAAACGAAATCTTTTATCGGGTGAAGAGTGAGTAATATTCAAGGATTCATAATTCTTAGACAATTGAAAATGTCAATCTATCCCACTTGTAATTTAGCGAGTATGATAACTAATTTTCATAGTTTTGTAAATGGTATATGCGTATATATATGTCCAAATCTTTTTTTTTACAATATTTAAATGTACTATTATTAAAGAATTATAGGTACTACGTATAATAATCGTCTACTGCGTAACAAAACGTATCAGTTTCAGGAATGCTTCTCAATCGTACGATTAAATCAATACTTTAAAAATCCTTAAGTAAATGTACATGTATATATATATATATATATATATATGTAATTGTATTACGTTATCTATCGACGAAACGTTTCTCGAAATGACAATCGATCCACTTTACATTATATTTCAGGTGATCCAATGAAAAATTGTTGAAATGTTTTGTAATATCTGCAGATATAACCTTGTTATTGCTTTTCACACACACACACACACACACATGTCATCACCTTCGTTTACGTAACTGTTCAAANGTATATATATATATATATATATATATGTAATTGTATTACGTTATCTATCGACGAAACGTTTCTCGAAATGACAATCGATCCACTTTACATTATATTTCAGGTGATCCAATGAAAAATTGTTGAAATGTTTTGTAATATCTGCAGATATAACCTTGTTATTGCTTTTCACACACACACACACACACACATGTCATCACCTTCGTTTACGTAACTGTTCAAATTCTGTTATTCGATTTCCAGTCAAAGATAACGAAAAATTCCCAAGGTGCTTTGAGTCGTCCGCCATTGAATTTACAGTATGTTTGTTCGATGCACTAATTCTTTCGCTTATATCATTGCATTCCTTCAAGAGACCCACTTCTCCGATTTTTCGTTCTTCGCTTTTTCTTTGGTCTTTCGAAAACAATTGTGGATTAGTGTCAATAAAATTTTCTATCTTTTCCAAGTCGATGCTTATTTTAAGGTGGATTTTGTTTCTGTTCTTTTTCCTGTTTTTAAACTTACTATTTGTACAAATTGCATTTGTTGCATCAAAAGGATCATTTTTGTTAATACTTCCAATACTTTCAACCTTTGGAACATTTTGTTTTATACTGTTAATAGTCCAAAAGCACTTGTCGTTCGCGTCTGCGACAAGCTCATCCGTATCATAGATATTTGTGATATCGGTCGTTAAATTAATGTTTTCTCGATTATGCCATTGGTTATCCTCTTCGATCGTTTTCGACACGGAATTTGTCGCATTACTGTTTTCGCATTGATTATTACCATTATTTGTCAAACTTTTGCACGATATTGGATCCAGATTTTCTTTGGAGTCGTCACGATAACTCTCGGACTGATCGTTAACAAACACGCTGTGCGTATCTCTACTTTTAGAGATAGGTGTACTGCTATATAGAGAACTCTCGGGTTTCAAAACCGAGGAAGTTTCACCGAACGCTTTAATATACTTCTGCTGAACTGTCTTCCGTGCGGATACATCGAATTTATCAGTTCTTTTCGCTACGGTGGAAGTCTCCATATTAATATTTATAGAAAACTTATTATATAAGATCATCTGCAAGAGAAGGCAAAACTTCATGAATTATCTCAATAGTACACCCATCCTATCAAAATCATAATTCTAAACATATTAAAATGGTAAAGAGTACTAATTCGTTCAGCGATGTTATTATCATATTATTAAAACTAAATTACTAACCATAAAATTATTCGAATTGCATACACGAAACTTTAAATCACATAAACGTATATATTCCGGTATCAGTCGATAGTGATCGCTTTCACTGTTTCTGTCTCTTCTTTGGTTGATGCTACTCGCATTTGTTTTGTGATTTGAAACGGCAGCCCTGGAATTAAATAAAATTTTGATCGAAGCTCTTATACACTTTGGTACTACATACTTTTTTACAAAAACTCGTGTTTTTGTTTTTTTTCTTTATTAAACTAGGGATCTACAAGGACCACCCAGTAACTATTTGAAAACAGAAAAAAAGATTTTGATTCGTTGAACTGTGTAATGAAACACAATTAGCGATACTTACATCTCAATATTGGTCTGCAATTTCCGTTGATTCGTTGTTCCCGATTGCAACGAGTCGATTCGTTCATTAGAGGCGAGGATTCTGTATCCCGATCTGGCAGCAGCAGCAGGACCGGTGCCTGCATCCGCGTCACACTGTTAGAATTTCAAATTATACACTAAAGGAAAGGTACGGGGAGATTTATAGAAGAATACACGATCCCCGTACCCTACTTTCAATCAGGATTAACCCTTAAATTGAAATGTAATTTCGCTGCTATAAAGAGATGTATAGATGGCAGAGAGTGTTCTGTTTAACTGGAAACGCAACTACGTTTTCTAGATACAGATTAATTATTATTACGACAGTCGTTCAATACGAATGAGGACATAGTTTTCTTCCTCTTCCAAACAACTCCCGCAATAATAATATTTTAATGATTCAAATACTGTAGACGGTGTACGGGATATTGTAGTGCATTTCATCTTCAAAAGTACTAAATATACGTATATGTATGTGCTTTACACCATGCATTTAATTGCATTAATATTTACACTGATTATGATTCCGCGTAAAGCATATATTAAATCGTATTACTTACATTTCTTACACCACTACCAATATTTCTCGCTTCAGATATTGGTCCTTCACCATTCTCAATGTTTTCTTCTTTACGTTCCGACAACGTTGAACAGGCTGCATTATGTAATACCGTTGACATATCTTCTTTAATCGCATAGTTTACGTTAGGTATTTGAATATCAGAATTCGCATTTTTAACAGAATGCTTTTCCACTCGGGACGGTAAATGGTTAGCGACATTATAGTCCCTACTAATTCGCATTGAATCTGTATCAAATATCGAAGCTGAAGTATTATTTCGAAATACGTTAGACTTCGTACTGTTCTTAATATCTGCACGTTCAAGTAACGATTTCGTCTCGTATTCGTATATGTTAAGACTTCTTCTGATCTTTTTAGATTTGTCTCCCGATGCATTTAACGAATTCGTAATAACATTGTCAATTGTTCTTTTCAATCGAATTTCAAAATCATCGGTTTTTGAATGCGAAGAATGAGATTTTGGATTGATTTCCTGTTCCTCGTTAACGGATACACTTTCAAATTCTTCGTGTGTTAAGGAAATAATATTGCTAATTCTAATATTAGAAAGCGAGTCATTAGAATTGCAATCGCTTTCTACGTTTAAGTGTATCGTATCATTCGAATAGATTGCTTTCGTATCTTGCAAATTTTGTTCCTCCAGTCTGTTGGATCCTGGAACACTTAAATTAAATTTATGATTTTGTTGTCCATTGTCCGGGTGTAACACTTCTTTCCTAAACGAACTAGAACTCTGCGTTGTATCATTTTTTTTATCTTTAAGGATATCATTTTCTAATGAAAAAGCATTACTCCGCACAGGTGTATCAATATCAGCAATTAATATTGTATTATCTAGTGTACTAGTCGATGCATTCTGTAATACACAGATTTTCATCTTAGTATACTAAAGTTACGCTATGTGTAATTGAGTTTCTATGAATTCATACATTTACCATTTCATCGTCGCTGTCAATCATAATAACATTATTAGTTGGGGAAACTGTTACAGATTTGCAGCATTCAGTTTCCAACTTAATATCTTTTTTGGATAAGTTCGATTTGTACGATGAAGCGTTTTTGTTATTTGCACATTCTTCTACGCTTATTTGATTTGAGCTCATATTTGTTTTCTCAGCATTATGCTGTCTGCCATTCCTCTTCTTTAATCTGCCAAGCATTGAGGTACACTTATGTTAACGTAAAAAAGAACTCAATATAACGAATACATTTATTCTGATAGAGAGCGAAGCACGTTTGTACTGACTCTTCCATTTCTTTAGCAATTTGGTGTTGTTGCCTTAATTTAAACGTTCGTGGACCAGGACGTAACTTAATGGTAGGTGGTACTTCTTGTATCTCGATAGGTATCAATGTATCTATTGTGTATGGCACAGGCAATTCTTTACCAACAGAAATGTCACTGTCACTTTCATCCGAATCAGTCTCGATTGTCCTTGAATAATGAAAAGCATACATTAATTTCCAGTTAGACTCATAATAATATATCGTAATTACTTTCAGTTATAACAATGGATGAATAAACGAGAAATGTAGACTACATACTGCAACATGCTAAGAGGTGTGTCTGTGTTGGCAATTGGTTTGGATTTATCTGTAAATTAACGTTACAATGAATCACCATTGTACTAAGAACAAAATATTATTTATTAGTAATTTACCTAAAATAGAAATACATTCGGCGCATTCCCAAATAGGATTACTCCATTTAAGTTGTCCGCACGACATATGAATTCCTTGAGATCCACAAGTTCTACAGAGCACTAACTCCCATTTTCTATTACAAAACGTGTTGAAGATAAAAAAATGCGATAAGAGAAATCGTGTAATGAAAATAAGAAATATATTTTTACTTACGCATTAAAGCTGGTATATTTTCTACCTTTAGGACATAAACAGATTAAAGCGTCGCATTGGTCGTGTCTGAACAAAAGTTCTTGAAACGCGTTCGGTTCAAGTTCCCAAGAAGCATCCCTGAAAAGAAAAACATATCGGTTGTAAACACAATTTATCGAACGTACATAAAATCTACCAAATTTATCAACTTACTGTCTAGGAATAAAAATACCATATTCTAGCATTGCTTTCTGGAACTTCTTTTTATCATTGCACAATGGACACTTAAAAAAGTAACCAGCACTCATAGCAAGTTGCTAAAACATAATGTTTGTCACTGGGTATGCGGTCCTACATGCTTAAAAGGTTATATAGAATACTCTAAGAATTGGTTTTTCATTAAAAGATTGTTGACTTACTTGAACACATTTTCTATGAAACCATGTATTTTTTTTACAACATGGAGCCCATATTGTATTAATTGTATCGGTTGGATTTACATTGTCGTAACATATGTAACATTTAATATCATTGATTTGTTCTAATTCATTCTTCACCTTTAAATCTATTTTTTGTCTTGGTCTATGATTTTGACAATACGACCTAAAAAGTAATATTTCCATATCTAAAGAACATTGATCTGTAAATAAGAGAACATTAAACGCATACCTAAATTCACCAAAAAATTGGTTCAAGGATCCAGCCCTTAGCCCGCAAGGATAATGAAATATCCGTTTACACTTGGAATTACAACATCCTAAAGTAGCACCACTTTTTTTACAATACGAGCATACCTTTGAAAAAGAAAAATATATTCAAATGTGTTAATGAATTATATTAATTGTGCAATGTGTATATACATATACATATAGTATATACACCCTGTACACAGTTGTATCATTATATTAAATATAACATATTTATTATATTTCTTCATAAGATTAATTACCAAACGTTTTCCTCTGCGTATCTCTTTTTGTATATCTGATAGTAAAAATCCCAGAATACCATCATTGTCGCGTCCTTTCTGTTCCATATTTGATGATAATAACTATAAAGTATATTATGTATTCGAACGCGATAATCATGAACATACGCATTTATGCACGATGAATAAAATTATACAAAATACATACTAAACAATAATAATGCGTGACAACATCGCCGTGTTCATAAAACTTCCCATATTCTAATTCATTGTCGTCTGGTAGTCCACAGAAGCAGCAGATCTTTTGGTTAAACAACTTACGTTTCGACATTGTATTCGCTTAAAGATACAACAAATAAGTTTTAGTAAAAAACATTAATATAACTGGCATTTAAACTTATAGAAATTATTATTTGGAATTTTGATAAAACATTTTGGAAACCTTATCTCTCTCTCTCTCTAGGGTTCTATAATACTAGCATTAATTGATAAATTTTTATGCAATTTGGATCATATTAGTGCACCAAACACAGTAGCATATAATAATAATAAATAATCCTGTTCGTGCTTTTCACATTTCTTTAGTTTGTATGTCTTGCGTGAATAAATACACTTGAATAACATACAAGCAACGTGAAATATTCAAATTTCTAAAATTGTCTGAATGCTTACCTGTGATATCACGGAAGGTCTAAGCCAAATATACCGAAATATTTACAATATGTACATGCGTTCGATGTTCCTTTGAAGTTTGTTTTTTATAGATGCATGTTCATGAAAGGTTCAATAGCAAAGTGTACGCGACTGTTGCAACTCGCAGAACGTTGACAAAGCAAATAATCATAACGGCGAATTACTGTATTCTACGCGATTTTAAAACGTGTCTAAGTGTTTTTACACATGAATAATTTTAATTTATGTATGTGACAATAGGAAAAAAGCACTTGAACTACGATTAATTATTATTTAATGATAGAATTCTCATATTTACGATTTAATTAATAAATCTACCTCTTTTCAGGAACCAGTACTGCGCGGGAAAAACTTCATGGGAATGTTTATTATGAGTTACAACTAAAAAAAAAAAGAGGTAAATGTGAACATGTTTCACTGATAATACGGATTGTAATAACAGTGCTAATAGACTGAATGAATAGGATTTCTTTCACTTTTCTCACTGGTCAACTGTTTTTTTTTGGCGAAAACTATGATAAAAACAACCACCCACACAGAAAATCATAAACCACTAAATATGTATGTATGTATGTACGTACGTATATACATACATACGATATGTAATGCACAACATCTGCATGAACGACGTAACCGTAACGGGTAACGAGTGTACTTGAACTTGGATGTATTGTACTGGGGACCAGGGGTCCCAGTTTTCACCCCAAAATGGTGGACGGGTCCCTGGGTGGGGATACGACGCGACATAACATTGTTACACGATGCGAAAATCGTGCGACGAAAGCGACAGCTGTCGTGTGCGTCGTGTCGTACCATGCCTCGTAATAGGTCCATGGCTAATGACTAATATAATTAATGTTATACGATTTACGTGCACCATTCACTATTAAAGGGCTGCAAGCTCCATTATTTTCCTGACAAATTTCTCTTGTAAATGAAATCAGTAAAATAAAAAGTTTTCATTACGCTACTCAAATGTTTATTCTTTTGCAATTTATTAAAACTATCTTTTATATTAATTTATTTACAAATCTGCTAATGAACATATATAGTCATACGAAACAACTAACATATATGTATACTTTATTTTTCTGTAATATAAAAATATTTTCAGCGTGATTATGAACCTAAAGTAATATAGAATTGATTTAGAAAGGAAAACGAAAATTTACTGTTTTATGTTTCTTGCTTCTGTATGAAAAATATCACGATTACAAATAATACCGTTTAAATATGGTATTTGAACAAGATCTCTTCTAGCTTGGACTAAACGGTACAAAACCGGACAGTCCAAAGATTCGCATTTCACATCATCCAAATAACCGACACAAGATTTACAAATCTGAAAGAAAATCTAATCAATCTCTCGGATATTAAAATACAATTTTATTTAAATATTTTGATCACCCGAATTGAGATCAAACGGTAGACGACATGTTAAAGATTGAATTTTACGTTATACCGTAGTTAGTTCAGAATGAGTACGCTCTAGCCACCTCAGCTTTTCATGTAAAACAATTATCGCTTGAGTTGGATTCTCTATGCAGTTTGTACAAATATCATTCTGTGTTTGTCCTCCGCAAGCAGCGCATACAACTGTACTGAAAAATTGTCGTATCGTCTGCTTTTGATTGTCGATGAACAAACCGACTGTTTTGTTGGATGATTGTCTGTGGAACATTTCCCTGTACCTGAAAACAAAGGCGACGAATCAATATTTCGAACACAGCGATTATGAATATCAATATTTCGAACATCGAAACTATTTTCTAATACCATGCGTTAACATCAACCCCAATTAGGTTCAAACAACGATTAAGAGGCGGTATGATAACTTTTGTTATGTAGTATATTGAATTTGAACTCAAACCCTCATCTGAAATCACTTCCATTGGTGTTCGTACACACTGAATAAGGGGTTGATTCGGTGCACCTGCTACTATAACATAACGTACTCGTTCACCGGTACGAGGCACTGCTCGAGGATCTTTACGCATTAGTCTCCTAGTTAATTCCAACGCAGGTACGCATGCATTAGGTTTGTAACCGCGTAAACCACGAAATTCTTTCGCGAAAGTTAAATCTTGAACTGATATTTTCCTACGTAGAATTTTATCAAATTGTCTGGTAATGTACAGCTTTAACAAGGAAAGGTCCTTGGTATCGAACAAGATCTTCAATGTTTTCTCAAGTATCTGTAATGAAATATTTATCATAGTTGCTTTATATTCATATTTTATGTTTCATTTAACATACTTTTGCTGCTGCTGGACAACCATCTCTACGAATAGTTTCAATACCTTTTGCTAATAATTCTGGTTCATTTTGATCAGGAAACTCGTACATGTAACCGCAATATCTTTTTTTAGTCTAAATGCAAAACAACTTTTTAGTATTATACGTTTTAATCGTGGACCATTAATGTTGAAATCGAAGAGTACTACTTGTAATATCGATGGTTGCAAAACTTTTTCGAACTTTAGTTTCACTGGAGGCGGATTAGCTGCAGTAATTGTATCAGCCATTTCAGCTCCAATAGTAAATGCTTCTTCCTTTGATTTTCCTGGTAAAAGAATGAATAACGAATCTGTATCACCATAGACAACTTGTGCTCCCCACTTCGGTGTAGCCTCCACAATTTTGATTGCTCTTTCAAGCGTTTCTCTTCCTTTGCTAACAACGCTGTCTCCAACCTGAGAATACACGTAGTTAAAATTATTTGTGCTTTTAAAAAAGCATAAAATAATTTCATTTCTACACACAAATGTGAAATAATCACATACTTCTATGCATGGCATTCTTCCACTAAAATTAGCAGATGTATAGCCATAGGTAACATTCGCAATCAATTTAAGTCCCAATTGTTGCGAATGAAGAATACGCTGTAGTACACGATTCTCATTTCCATGGAGTTTCATAGACTGTTTTACCATTAATCGTGTGTTTAGAATTTCCGTGAGCATACGTGGCAATATTCCAAGACGTACATCTTGTTTTACAAAAGCTACGCCACATGGTGAGAAATTTATTTTGCCTTGTAAACTTTCAATAGTTCTTTTCCCTACTTTCAATGTAGTTGCTCCAAACTCAAACGGCTCATGCCTATAAAAAGATAACTAAAGCTATACATCACATATTTCGGCAGAAGTTAGACATGTTAATGTCATACTTACTGGCCAACATGTTCTAAACGACCCAAACATGTGGAGAAGCAATAATTATAAGCAATGATAATGCTTGGATATAAGCTTTGAAAATCAAGAACAACTATAGGATCGGTATAAAACATAGATTGTGGTTCCATAATAAGTGGTAGTGATTCAGGTGCCCGCATTCTAGCTCTTTGTTGCATAGATGGTGAAACAGCTATATAATTCAAAGGTTTTGCGAGTCTCAACATCATCGACTCAACACGAAACTGGGACCCTCGAGAAAAAACTTCATAAAATTGTATTCCAAATAGTCGAGCGTGTTCACAAGTTCTTCCTGAAATGTTTTATCTAGTCAAACATGAAATATCAATATTTCTAAGCTTTCCATACTTACAATACACGTATAAATGCATAAAAATTAACAATCTGCTTTCTGTGCAACACGATTATCATTATTTACATATGTATTAGTCAAATAAATACGAACCAATGATATCTAGGTGTAAAAGTATTCTAAGCGTACCAACAACCCTTGTAACGTAATGAAAGATTACTTTCCACTGTGTCGTTACATTGCTATGCCTCCACCAATCGGTCAAATGTTGAAAAGTAGGGCACGAGATTCTTTCACGCAGCACATGATAAATAACATTTTCAAATGTGTAATTTAATAATGCTGTAAAATAATATGAATACGATGATCGATGTATAAACTTTTACACATGTGTTTCCAAAATGTATACTTTACCTATTTCATGACGCATTATCCGCCAAACATCAAGAACGATTCTACCTGGTATTTTTGCTTCGCTTAAGTTATCTTTATCCCATGCTTGATCTTTCGAAATTGGAGTAGCATTTGAAACTCTTGAAATTTGCCATGCAAGAGTAGTAAAACCTATGTGGTTAGCCCGCTGTAAAATGTAACCCCACGAATGAGATTCTATTTCCCAACCAACTAAGATGTCTGGATCACAATGCCTGAGCAATGTTATCAGGCTATTCAGTAAATCCTTTTCACTGGATACATACGATGTCAGACACGTCGCACTGGTTGAATAAACAGTTTTTATTCTTGAATCATTTATAGAAGAATTTACAACGATAGCACCTAGACAAATAAATATTCATTTTCTTCTTAGCAAGAAGTGTTTGGAACTTGCTGACAGAATATCATATTTTCGTGCATACCATGTATTATTTGTTGAGTATCCAACAATGATGGAATATCGTTGTGAATAGCATAGAATATTGCTCCGATCGAATCGTGTTCTGGATCAGGAAGAAGTTTACCACGTGTTACCGCATGTACTTCCAATGATAATATTGTCAAATATTGAGGCTGTAATAACAAACATAAAACATATTCATAATATTCATCATAAAACTATCATTTTACAAAAGATATTGTTACCGTTAATTATTTACCACTAATAGTCCTTTGGCATTTTGAAAATTTTCATCTGCAGCATTACCACTATGTCCTTTTATAGAATATTCAATCTGACCATATGAAATTCCCAAATGCTGTGTGTCATTATTTTTATATAATAACGGATTCTCAAGTATATCTCTTAAAGAAGGATTCATACTATCATTAGATCCACTTGAGCGGTGTGATGTATCAGTGCTTTGCGATTGTTCTTTTACACATTTAATATTAGCCAATGGCTTTTCATTAATCAAATCATTTGCATCAGTATTGACCTGTTCATTTGTCTTTTTTGTTTCCGAGTCCCTCTTTATTTCAGAACATTTACTACTTCGTTTTAGTGAGTACTTTTTAGCTTGCAACCAAATTTGAGTACTTCTTGAAGTAGGTGGTCGAATAAGAGGTTGGATTGTTGTCGAACAATGTCCTGTTAGAACTCTCTTTATGTCGCATGACTTTATATATAATCCAGAAGGATAAAATTCATTTATTTTCACTCTACGCCATAATTCGATACCAGTAACTCTATCTAGACTAGATTTAAAGGAAATCACATCCTCAATGTTATTATTTTTTCTTGAATATTCCTTCTGCTTTAGGAGGTCGATTTTTTTGCTAAAAAATGGTCCGTTCGATTTGAAATCGTTATATATTTTCATGGTACTTATAATCCTTTCTCTTGTTGGTGAACTAAATTTTGTAGTGATTGTAGTCAGTTTGTTTCTTGCAATATTGTATGCAGAATCTAATAACAATAGGTTCAAATTCTCTGCCTCCAAATTTAATTTTTTATTAAGGAGTTGAGTATACATCATGCTGAAAATATTTTCTCCACCTTCGATATCGTCTTCATTGTATTCTTGCAGCATCTCATTTGATAAACTTCTTTTGCATAAATCTTTATCGATGTTTATCGTACTTGAGAAATTATCTTTGCCATTTGTTTTCTCATCTTTCTTTGTGCATGTTTTTAAAAAATACTTGTCATCAACCAAATTTATGGCAGGAACACTAGCAGCAGAATAAATTGTTTGCGACTTAATTATAATCTTTTCTACTGAAGATGAATGTTCAGAATAATTTTCATCGATACCATCTTTCATAGATGCAATTTCTTTATCATTTGTGTCAAGAAAACTCAGCCGTTTACGAACATCTTTGTTACATCTAAAAATAATATCTTTTGTAGGCTTTGTCGCTAGTGAATTATGTTCGGCATGGTTTAAATAAATAGACTCCTGAACATTTCCAGCACTATTCAGGATATGACTGTCTAAAACATACAGATGACATGTATAATGTAATATAAACAAATGTTAAGTGGCCATGCAACCATATCAGTTTCAAAAAATTAAAAACATTTGTTTACTTCTTTTTTTTCAACAAAATAATAGAGTTGTAATACAATGAAAACATGCAGAGATACGGGCCATAAAAAATACTAAAGAAATTTGACAATTTCTAAAAGCATCCAAAAAACAAACAGCTGATGATTTCTTGGAGGGATTAAATATCAGATTCAAGAGGAATTAAAAGTATTTTCTTTTATTCTATAAAAAAAAAGTTAACTTAAAACTTCAAACTTTAAATCCATTTTTCTGGAAACTATATTTTTTAACCTGACAATCAGTAGATCTCCGAAAGTATTTATTCGATCGATATAAAATTTTATCGCATTATCCTACAGATTACGTACAAAGTAGAGTACGATGTTTATTATACTTATTCTTTAATTTTTTATATATTTTCAAAAATGAGTTTCTTTTAGAAATATTAAAATAAAGCTAAAATATTGCTTGATTTTTCTTATAAAAATATTTTCCTTTTCTTTTTACAGCATTCTTATATAAAAAGAAAAATTTAGATTCATTCCATTTTATTAGACCTATATGATTGCATGTACCCTTAAATGTACCTCAGATACACATACTCATACCTTGGTCTACTTCAGAGGATGAACTACATATTTCCTCATGTAATAAATACATTTTCAATTGATTTTTGTTTTGATTTGGTGTATCAAATGTAGATTTCGTACTGCATGGTTTGTTTTTTAATGAATCTATTTTTCCAAAAGATTCTTTGGCTTTTGGAGACATTATTGTTATATTGAGGGCTGAATATTTTCTTGTAGAACATGGACTTTGCAAACGTCTTGCTTTAATTGGAGTATGATAGTGTATTTGTGGAGACCCTGAACTTGAGTTTCCAGACTCTAGTTTTCGTTTTTTTAGTGAAGTATTGACTATACACTCTTCATGCTTTAATTTTGTGCATGACTTATAAATGCAAATGCGTTCCTCTTTTCTATCGGTAGTGATATCTGAATCCAGATCAGAATCACTAGAACTGTCAACTGCATTACCATCGAACGATGGTAGTTCCACTTCCATTAAGCGATTATGAGCAATAGAATATGATTCATTATGATCACTCGTGTTTATTAAATTTGAATGATCGATTAATAGTAATGCGTGATCCGTATCATCTATATCGTATACATCTAAATCTTGATGATCCGGTTCATATTCCATAATAATTTCTGTTATCTTCCTTTCCATATTCCTACAATCACGCCCATGTTTCTCATGAAATAATATTGAATTAAATGCAATTGACTGTGAAAGAGTATGATCCAATNAAAAAATTAAAAACATTTGTTTACTTCTTTTTTTTCAACAAAATAATAGAGTTGTAATACAATGAAAACATGCAGAGATACGGGCCATAAAAAATACTAAAGAAATTTGACAATTTCTAAAAGCATCCAAAAAACAAACAGCTGATGATTTCTTGGAGGGATTAAATATCAGATTCAAGAGGAATTAAAAGTATTTTCTTTTATTCTATAAAAAAAAAGTTAACTTAAAACTTCAAACTTTAAATCCATTTTTCTGGAAACTATATTTTTTAACCTGACAATCAGTAGATCTCCGAAAGTATTTATTCGATCGATATAAAATTTTATCGCATTATCCTACAGATTACGTACAAAGTAGAGTACGATGTTTATTATACTTATTCTTTAATTTTTTATATATTTTAAAAAATGAGTTTCTTTTAGAAATATTAAAATAAAGCTAAAATATTGCTTGATTTTTCTTATAAAAATATTTTCCTTTTCTTTTTACAGCATTCTTATATAAAAAGAAAAATTTAGATTCATTCCATTTTATTAGACCTATATGATTGCATGTACCCTTAAATGTACCTCAGATACACATACTCATACCTTGGTCTACTTCAGAGGATGAACTACATATTTCCTCATGTAATAAATACATTTTCAATTGATTTTTGTTTTGATTTGGTGTATCAAATGTAGATTTCGTACTGCATGGTTTGTTTTTTAATGAATCTATTTTTCCAAAAGATTCTTTGGCTTTTGGAGACATTATTGTTATATTGAGGGCTGAATATTTTCTTGTAGAACATGGACTTTGCAAACGTCTTGCTTTAATTGGAGTATGATAGTGTATTTGTGGAGACCCTGAACTTGAGTTTCCAGACTCTAGTTTTCGTTTTTTTAGTGAAGTATTGACTATACACTCTTCATGCTTTAATTTTGTGCATGACTTATAAATGCAAATGCGTTCCTCTTTTCTATCGGTAGTGATATCTGAATCCAGATCAGAATCACTAGAACTGTCAACTGCATTACCATCGAACGATGGTAGTTCCACTTCCATTAAGCGATTATGAGCAATAGAATATGATTCATTATGATCACTCGTGTTTATTAAATTTGAATGATCGATTAATAGTAATGCGTGATCCGTATCATCTATATCGTATACATCTAAATCTTGATGATCCGGTTCATATTCCATAATAATTTCTGTTATCTTCCTTTCCATATTCCTACAATCACGCCCATGTTTCTCATGAAATAATATTGAATTAAATGCAATTGACTGTGAAAGAGTATGATCCAATACAATTTGACGTAACTTCTTTCTTGCATTCAATACAACGTTGGGATTAAGACAAGAAGACGTTATCACTGTTTTTTCTAACAAATCATCATGTTTCTGTATTTTAACGCAGTTTATGTATTTCGATACTGTATTTTCATTTTGAGAGGATTTTATCTGCAACTGTTTATCATTTTTATAGATCAAATCATTTGAACCATCATACTGTGGAAAATTCAACAAAGTAACATCTTCATCATCCAGTTTAGTAGATCTTCCATTTTCAATTCCAATCTCCTTATTTTCAAAATCAATTGTACTTAATTGACTAACAGTCTTGGTATTTGTATTCCATGAACTATCTAAATCTAGACTTGTAATATTTAGATCTTCAACGTCATCTTCATTATCTTCTCTAATTTCATTACTCAGCATAGAATACTGAGAAGCTAACACGCTATCATTATCAACAGAAACTTCTTCATTTGATTCTGCTAAATTGGCTAACATTTCAATTAAGTGTACATCATCTATATCCACTACAAATAAAATTATTCTTTATATAGTACCTATAAGAATATTTACTATTATAAATAAATTTATTCATTATCTATTGTTTCTACTTACAAACACTGACATCTATAGTTTTGTCCTGCGATAATGTTTGTATCGATGTATTAAATTTCTCAAAATTTAATGATTCATTGCTTAATATTATTTGCTCTTCATTCTTTTTATCTAGCAAGTTCAGTTTAAAATGATTCGACACATGCGAGGCATTAAGAGAATTACTTTCACCTTGAACTTCCAATGGGTAACGAAACGCTGACAATGTTGCCGATGTTGTTGTTATATCCGTCTTAACATAGAAATAAGTTATTTTAGATTTCTATTTAAATTCCAACTACATATTGTGTACCGACTTATCGTACCTGGGAAATAGTTTGCAATCTTCGCATTAATCTTTCTTCCTGATAAATATCATTATCGGATGGACTGTAAACTCTACTGTTCGCATTTGTATATAATAATTGTGATTCAGCTTGCTGTAAACCTTTGACATCTCTTCTATACTTTTCATTATTCCATATTGCTGCAATACCAGGATTCAAATCTAAACCATTTTCAAGTTCTTGTTTATTGAGTATTTCAGTTGCTCGTGCATCTACTTCCAATGTACATGTGCTTTGTCTAATAACAGATGAAGGAAGGTAGATCTGGGAATTATTAGAGTTCAAACAGGTTTCATTTTGAGAGTTGCTCTTGGATCCTGCTGCTATATGTTGTCTATACTTGACATCTTTTAAATTTATTAAGCTCATTCCATAGAGATTGTAATCTATCATAAATTGTAATATGAAAGGAATATGAGCTTCATGTGGTTGTAAATTTTGATTAAGTATCGCACCGTTCTATAACAATAGATTCATTATTATTCCTATGTAATATCTAATGTTAACAGATTAACTGGAAATGTAGAAATTATTTACTTGTAACAAATCAGCTGCTCGTTTAATCATAGACGGATTATAGAAATAGATTTTAAAAAATAAATGTTCCTTCTCGTGATAACCGTAGAATGGACTAAAACATATATGTTTTACACTATATTAGTATTATAGATCAGAGCATTGATTTGGAAGTCTAAATTCATGTTTCGGTAACGAAACAAGTCCCCTTACATTCCAGAAGTTATGTGAATCTTATAGACATGTTGGGTTTTAGACATTGCTGATCCCAAAGATACATTAATTGCAGAATCCATTGCTGCAGCTAATCTGTATATAAAATTATCAATGTTCTTATCTATTGTACATGGTACATAAATATATGGAAATACACCATGTATATGGAGGCATGTTTTTAACCCTGAATAAAAAAGATAACTGTGAGATGGTTATTGTAAGATTGAATTGAAATAACACACTGTCACATTTATCCTCATAATTATTGAAAGATTCAATTGAAATAATGCTACTTACCCTTCGGAGTGGATCCAAATATTCTAATAATTGGGACATGCTTGATTTCTGTCCCACGAAAATCTGAAAATGTTATATCTAATCCAGACAGCGGAGCTGATTGGTAACTGTCTAATGTTACCAAATTAATAGAAAACATACTTAACCCCTGTAAATAGTGTTTACCAATATTTACATGATTAAAGTAAACATATGTTACGGAAAGTATTTATATTCTTGATTCTATGATAATACATTGTATTTTAGGTTAACGTTACAATTTTCATACCAAATTTTATAGACATATGATATATGTACGTTCTTTTCTCCACATATGTAATGATTTCCATATACATCATCCGATCGCTATTTTCTACATAATACTGTGTGTATTTTTTAAAGAAGACTAATCATTAAATGACCAGTATCAAATACAGACTTAATTAAAACTTCAGATAATCGTAAGTGATCCTAAGCAATTCTAATCCTAAGATTCCTAACTCTGTGTGGTGTGGTCTGTTGTATCGTTCATGTGGTACATACATATATGTATAATATAATAATACAATACGTACTTAAATGGTCATATACGGTATGTACATATACATATACGTAAATTGTAGCTTGTAACCTATCATTACCTTTCAATTACTAATTAANGTACATACATATGTGTATAATATAATAATACAATACGTACTTAAATGGTCATATACGGTATGTACATATACATATACGTAAATTGTAGCTTGTAACCTATCATTACCTTTCAATTACTAATTAACATATAGATTTTTTAAAAGAAAAATGATAAAGTTTCTATTGTATAATTGTAATGTAATTTTATTTCCTTAAATTTAATTGTTTTAAATACTTATTTGATACATCTGCATCATTAACAATATAAATTATAGAAAAGTATGCA